CGGATTCTTTGAGTTGAATTCGGGATGCCAAAGCCCAGGATTTCACATTCCACCGGCAAAACTTCTCACATATTCAGGAATTCGCTCACCCCGACCTTTGAGAGCTCTCAGTTATGAATGTAGCAATCTCACGACTTTTTTTAAATCAAGAATCTTAACTATCATGCTTCAGACGTCAGTGGGCTATTTTGAGAGCAAAACCCTTGATCCTCAGCTCGATAACAATTCAGTGAAATATTAATAGTGAATCAAGTTAGTTGCAATTGGCGTATATTGACCGATATCTACACCCGTCACTGAGTTGGGGTCAATTGGAAGTTATATTCTGTGCCGATGTTGTAGTTTTCATCACAAAATGTTGCTAAACTGAGCTAAATTGATAACTATAAATCAAAACATGGAGCAATTCGCGACTGTAAAAGATCCGTTCGCCCATAGTACATCCTCATAACAAGATTCACTAATTGCTGTGCACGTCAATTTTTTAACATCTCGGCCTACACCTTTCCATTTCTCCAGTGCCGTAGATTTTAACCCTGAAAAAACGCTTTGGAAAAATAATCCCCAGATAACGAGGTTGAGTTTCTGCTGTGAAATATGTTGAGAAAAGTGCTAAAAACTGAATATAAACGTTTCAGAGCTTCTACTAAAACTGAACTCTTCTCTTGAGGGATAGTCCGTAAAACCCCCTAAATGCTCAGTTTGGCAGCATCGCTGATGGCAGATCTTGTCGCGTATCTGCCAAACGTTTGGCAGTTATGACCGTGTTTTCATTAATTCTCAGGAAACTTCGTGACAAAGCCCGGCATGCGCACGGCAGCCAGTTGATAGGAATCAAACTAAGCTATGTATTAGATTAACTAATTTCACGGCATTTATCATCTCACGCAGTTTACGAAACGCGTTGGGGAATCTTTAATTTTCGACTCTTTAGTAATACAAGAAGCAACTTCTCGTATAATTATCGTCCCTTTTCGCCTGCCGGGTTTATTTATAAATCAATTTAGAGCCACCTCTACCATCCAAACATCCAAACAGTAAGCTCCAGGCTTCGTTTAATGGCTTTTCTTGATTTCTATTCCTGTCCATCAGCAACGACTGTAACTGACTGAGGCCCCCTTTTGCAGCAATTTACCACTGGAATGTACTAAAAACAACTTTCTGCTTTTGAACGTCATGACACTTAACGAATTAACCACAGACTCTAAAGAAAAAAACCGCATTACTTTGTCGCTTTTTTTGTTTCGGGAATCGTCGGTAGACTTCGGAAATCTTCTGAAATAATCCGAAATTGTCGTAAAATGGCCGAAAACTCCTTTATCAGAGACACTAAACAGAATAATATTGGCCTTTTTGAAGCCGTTTTTGCTTCTTTCTGGAAAAAATTTACTGTTTCAAAGAATTTTTTACTGTTAGTTTAAAAATGCCTAAAATTTAACTGTTTCATGTTATATCGAGGTACCCCCATTAAGACCCTCCTGCCTTGTGATACTTTCTAAATACAGCATAATGAACAGTATCCGGAGGGGGATTGACTCGATCAATAGCTTTCACTTGAATGGTGACAAATGTTTTTTACGGAACTGAAGCGTTCTTTTGACTTTTGTGTCCACCGAAATCAGTTCATTACAGTCGACTCCCTATTGACGCCAAAACCCTCCTCAAAATGGTCACCGGAGTTGGTTTTTGCAGTTACTCAGACATTTCCTTGCTTTGACCGGACTTTAAGGCGATAGGACCTTTCAATTTACTTTTTGACCAAAATGTCCGGAAATTTTAGCACAATGGAAAGTACCCGAGAACAAGTAAAGAACTTAGCTTTAGATCTAGTGAGTTATGGCTCAGCTTCACTGTCAACAGTTACACGTTCTTGTAAGATTAATGTTTGCATAAATACAGTTACTGACCCTGAGGACTGATTTATCCTAAGAAAACTGTCATTATTAGCCGAGGAATTGGCAGAAATGACGCGACACCTTGGCTTCAGTTCGCTGCACAAGTTATTAGTTTTAGCTAAAGGTATTATTAAGTAATAGATCTTAGATCAGATAGAGTATGACACCCAAATTATTTTTTTCAAAACACACTCTTATTTTCATATCCTTTGGCTATTCACCCGTGTCTTCGAAGATAATTTGAGTATTTTAGCCCTTCAACGCTTAAAAATATTATTCTCGATAGACAATTAACTTTTAGAAGGTTCCTTTTCTGCTTAAAATCAGTATCGTAGTGTTAAGATATCATATAGAGACCTCGTATCAGCATTTGATCAACCACGATTATTATGTATTAGTTAGTGTAGAAACAGTCAAGCTTTTAAATACAAATTAACAACTCTTAGGTCTCTAATGGTAAATTACATTTTTAAAGCTTACCGCTGAGAATGCGAGAAAGTCGCATAAAATGTTAAAGACGTTTTCATAGCTCAGAGTTAGATTTAAAGTTCTCTGGGCCTCTGGCAACCTATGTATCGATTATTGTCCCCAAGCCAGAAATACGCGCTGACATCTTCGCTCATTTGAGAAGATATAATGTAATTGATAGTAAAGCGTTAATTTTACACTAGTATATTCGTAAAGCATTTTCATCACCGTGATTTTACAAGGCTTGTTATCTTAAAGGATCAAATATTTTCTAACAATTAATCATGAGTTAAGACTCTGCTTTTGTGCGAATGCAAAGCCGGAAAGCCAGGTGACGCCAAATGACGAATACTATTGGAAATGTACGATTATTTTTGCTTATCTAAAATCAGTTTAATCTTACAGCATATGGAGAGGCTTAAAATTTGCCTCAGGAAAAATCAGTACGTGCGAAGTCTAAATTCAACAAAAACAGATGAAAGGCCTTATAAACAGTGAGGTTAAAAACTAAGGAAATTCATTACCTCAAAAAGAAAAGCATGCTTTGAATTTAAGTAACAATTTATTCCCTAGAAACTGCTCGCCACAAGCTAAAACCCTTAACCGTTTCCGCTCCTCCTCGTTCACAAACCAGGATGTATTAATGTTAGACATGGAATTAACAGAGATCACTATGTCCATAAATCCTTGTCATTATCGTTATTAGTTTCTCACGATATTGGAAGCTATTTCAATTATTTTTTTTCCTCACGGTGAAATCGTCCAAAGGCTTAAAGTTGCTGTTTCGCTTGGTATTGCTGCTTTCACCAAAAAAAAAAAACGCAAAATTTTTCTCATGCCTACTTTTGTTTATTCCTGGAGGTTTGATTATTAAGCTAGCGTTTAACGATCGATTATCTGCCGTTTTTGGACCAAGAAGCTTAAAACATAAGTTAAAAAGGGGCTCGGCGTTAATTATTTTGTTATGCAAGGGGAGCGTTAAGCGTGTTTCACAGTGAAAAAATAATACTATCAACTTAAAAAAATAACGCTAAAAATGCTAGTCAAAACACATGACAACTCGATTTTGAGCAAATAGGTAAACATCATTAAGACTTATAGTGCTCTTAGCCTCTCATTAATGTACTGTCCTTTTATAAAAACGACCGGCGGCTGATGAAGTCTAGCTAGAGAACATTAATCTACAACGGTTACTAGTTATCACATACAGGAAAAAATGTTGACATTTTGGATGAGTGTCACTAAGCGATTACGTAAAACTACACTCATCAGTAAAAAAAAGGCAATAACTCATGTCAGGAAATGAAGGTCTTTTTATTTTGACCCGTTATCTTTGAAGATGCAAGAGACTCTTTTTGTCATTTATTGTATTCTGTGTTGGCCCATGAGGTGTGAAGAGTCTTGTTTTTGTGCTATGTTAATTTTCTTGCTGATGAACAGATATGAAACTTCATCAATTGAGTCCGAAATTAGCTTCAAACATTTTAATTGTTATCGTCTATGTCTTTTCAGTCCAAGACAAGCCCTCACTCTGGGAAACATCACATGATTCAAATTTGAATTTATGCCCCACCAGGCTGGCCACAAAGTACTTATATTTGCTACTGACACACAAGAGGTTCGGTATTCGATTGACCTTTTAAGCCTCCTTTTGCGAGCTACTTACAAATGACGAAATGCTTGATCGTGTTCCAAATACTGAGATGTCCTTTTTGGTTCTAGATGCTCTATATTTACCTTTCGTATCAGGTATAAAAAGCCGATAATAGAACTATTCGTCGTAAATTGCTCTCCGTTTATACAAGAGGTCACAATTCACTCCAGAAAAGCTCCAACTCGCTTTTCCTAGCCACATGTTTCATTGGCATCACATTTTCTAGAAGGAAGCCAGCCTCTGTGTATACAACTGAGGTAAGTTATATTTCATCCTTGTTTGTGCTTTGTTCGATTGTTTTGAGCTGACACGTCTACCCCGCCCGGTTTGAAGCTTACAACTTAAACGTGCACTTTTCTGATGATTTTGCAGTGCGGGACCTTTGAAAGACAGTTGCAGTTAGCAAAGGAATTCCGTTTGCCTCACTTTATTTCATTAAGTGATCTTTCAACAGCCGCTGTAAAGCTTCCGAAGCGAGAATTAAGAAGGCAGGTTGACCAGTTTGAGCCGGATTTCGAAAAGACACCTGACTTATACTGCGACCGAAGACGATGGTCATTCCACGCTTCGCAACTTTGATGGCAGTTCTTGTTTTGTTTACAAGCAGCGAAATCGATTCTGTCAAGTGCACAAATGAGAAGCCTTTAGTCGAGACAAGCTATGGAAAAATAGAGGGAGTTAGACGCAACTTTCCCCACATGAACATGCCAATAACATCTGTAAACAAATTTCTAGGGATCCCGTATGCAGCGCCACCGATCGGAAAACTACGGTTTCAACCTCCATCGAAACCTTCCACTTGGAAACCAGAGATTTACAACGCCTCCTTCTTTAGAAACATCTGTATTCAACCTCCCGAGTATAACGAACTTTTTTGGCCAAATTTTTCTCATCCTGAAAGCGAGGACTGTCTATATCTAAACGTCTACACCCCCCTGAGTAATACCAGCTCAGCAAGGAATTTGTTTCCGGTTATGGTGTATATACACGGGGGAGGATACGAGGTCGGCACCCCTGTCGTATCACCCGGGGACATAATCCCCTTGTGGGGTGTTGTGCTGGTCACAATACAGTATCGCTTAGGACCTTTTGGATTTGTTACCACTGGAGATGCAGAGGCCCCAGGAAATTATGGGATGTTAGATCAGATCGAGGCTCTTAAGTGGGTTCGAGAGAACATCGAGGCTTTTGGAGGGGACCGTTCTAAAGTTACAATATTTGGTGAAAGCGCCGGTGGATCTAGCGTGGGACTTTTGTTGATGTCTCCGCTGTCTAAGGGCCTTTTTCTTCGTGCTATTCCCATGAGTGGAGTTGAACTGTCACCTTTTGCAATCGGCGCCAAAGCCAACGCGTTATCGCATACAAAAGAACTGGCATCAAGACTTGGTTGCCCGGTTAAAGAAAGCGAGGCAACAATCAAGTGCCTTCGGTCAATTGACGCTCCTAAGCTTGTAAAGATATATGACGCTGCGAATATCTGGAGACCCGTAGTTGATGGGAATTTTCTCACGGACACACCCGAGAATCTCCGAAGAACAGGAAAATTTCATCATTTAGACCTCATGTCCGGATTTACGAGTCAGGAAGGCGCTTACTTCTTTCCTTCTCTCATCAGTGAAGTAACGTCCAACACTTTTCGCCATATTATTAACGTCACCATTTCTTATATTATCAACAAGTACGGGCAGACTCATACACCAAGTTATAAACTACCAGAAAAACTGTTAGATGCAATTGTGTTTATGTATACACCCTGGCCATACATCCACAATGCCACCAAATTCAAGATTGGTTTCGCAGATGCCGTGACTGATTCGTGCGTGGCGGAGTCCACGCACGCGAGTTTGCTTTCCCATAGTGCTCAGAGCCCTGTGTATATGTACGAATTCGCGTTCCGCTCTAAACTAAACCCTGCAGCTGATTGGCTGGGAGTGAGACACAAAGATGACACACCTTACCAGTTTGGTTTTCCGCTGATGAACCTTACAGTTCTTCAAAATTACACCGAAGAAGATCGCAACGTGAGCAAATTGATCATCACCTTATTCACAAATTTTGCTAAATACGGTAATCCGACTCCCCGACCATTGAGAGGAGTGACATGGAAGCAGTTTAACGCAACTTATCGAGCCTACCTTCGCATTAAAGAACAGCCCGAAATGGCGATTAACTTCTTCCCGACGCGAATGGCATTCTGGGACGAGTATTATAAGACGTTTTTAAAAGAGAAAGAATGCCCTGTCGAAGCCAGAGCAAGCGTGGGGACGCATGCGTGTTGCAAGGGTACATTTAGTTATTTCTTTACCCTCATTCTTATTATAGTCGTGTTTTCGATGCTTTCAAATCGCCTTGAATAGTAAGAATTTATGCACTTTATAAAAAAAGCAACGTAAATTCCCCTTTCTAGCAAAAATGTAGTCTGCTACACAGCCGTTTTTAGAGTCGTTACTAAAACGGCTGTGTAGCAGACTAGCAAAAATGGGGTTTCATTCACGTCTTTGCTCTCGCTATCTTTTGCGCTTGTGCGTTGAGGCTAGATGCATGATGTAATAATCTTCTTGATCTATAAGGTAAACAAACAGCAATACCCTGACAGCAGGAATTATACAATACGGAAAGATGATTAGAAATTATCGAAGCGAGCACAATTCAGTAGATTTTGTTTATACCCTCAAAGTTGATTGCTAGGATCCTTGTATAATATAATGAAACTTCAAACAGAAAAGAACTGCATGTACTGAAACCCAAAACACGGAAGAAGAGCTGCCCAGAACATCTCAAGCGTAAACTACAAGGTAAAAGTCTATCAGTTCTACGTCGGTAATTAGTTACAGTACACATCACACAGACAAACCTGAGGCCAACAGTGCGCCCATTTTACCTCTCTCTCCGTCAGTTCTCCGTCTCCTTTTAATAGGGAGCTTTAGCAACGACGACGGCGACGGCAAATAGGACGTCAGAAAAGCAATAGGTTTATTACGCAAAACAACAACTTTGCACGTGCATTACGCTTTTTTGTACATTTCTTCACCGTCCTTGCACGACTACGACGTGAAAATTCCTAATTGCAAGTTTTATGGAGGACGTAAACAAGCGACGACGAATCTCTTTTTCTCTCTCTAAACTTGAGTGCGGTCCTCAAGAAATCAACTCCAGGGAAATTCGCCTACACTTGCCATTTTCAGCAAACTAGTAAAGCTTCCGAAGCGAGAATTAAGAAGGCAGGTTGACCAGTTTGAGCCGGATTTCGAAAAGACACCTGACTTATACTGCGACCGAAGACGATGGTCATTCCACGCTTCGCAACTTTGATGGCAGTTCTTGTTTTGTTTACAAGCAGCGAAATCGATTCTGTCAAGTGCACAAATGAGAAGCCTTTAGTCGAGACAAGCTATGGAAAAATAGAGGGAGTTAGACGCAGCTTTCCCCACATGAACATGCCAATAACATCTGTAAACAAATTTCTAGGGATCCCGTATGCAGCGCCACCGATCGGAAAACTACGGTTTCAACCTCCATCGAAACCTTCCACTTGGAAACCAGAGATTTACAACGCCTCCTTCTTTAGAAACATCTGTATTCAACCTCCCGAGTATAACGAACTTTTTTGGCCAAATTTTTCTCATCCTGAAAGCGAGGACTGTCTATATCTAAACGTCTACACCCCCCTGAGTAATACCAGCTCAGCAAGGAATTTGTTTCCGGTTATGGTGTATATACACGGGGGAGGATACGAGGTCGGCACCCCTGTCGTATCACCCGGGGACATAATCCCCTTGTGGGGTGTTGTGCTGGTCACAATACAGTATCGCTTAGGACCTTTTGGATTTGTTACCACTGGAGATGCAGAGGCCCCAGGAAATTATGGGATGTTAGATCAGATCGAGGCTCTTAAGTGGGTTCGAGAGAACATCGAGGCTTTTGGAGGGGACCGTTCTAAAGTTACAATATTTGGTGAAAGCGCCGGTGGATCTAGCGTGGGACTTTTGTTGATGTCTCCGCTGTCTAAGGGCCTTTTTCTTCGTGCTATTCCCATGAGTGGAGTTGAACTGTCACCTTTTGCAATCGGCGCCAAAGCCAACGCTTTATCGCATACAAAAGAACTGGCATCAAGACTTGGTTGCCCCGTTAAAGAAAGCGAGGCAACTATCAAGTGCCTTCGGTCAATTGACGCTCCTAAGCTTGTAAAGATATATGACGCTGCGAATATCTGGAGACCCGTAGTTGATGGGAATTTTCTCACGGACACACCCGAGAATCTTCGAAGAACAGGAAAATTTCATCATTTAGACCTCATGTCCGGATTTACGAGTCAGGAAGGCGCTTACTTCTTTCCTTCTCTCATCAGTGAAGTAACGTCCAACACTTTTCGCCATATTATTAACGTCACCATTTCTTATATTATCAACAAGTACGGACAGACTCATACACCAAGTTATAAACTACCAGAAAAACTGTTAGATGCAATTGTGTTTATGTATACACCCTGGCCATACATCCACAATGCCACCAAATTCAAGATTGGTTTCGCAGATGCCGTGACTGATTCGTGCGTGGCGGAGTCCACGCACGCGAGTTTGCTTTCCCATAGTGCTCAGAGCCCTGTGTATATGTACGAATTCGCGTTCCGCTCTAAACTAAACCCTGCAGCTGATTGGCTGGGAGTGAGACACAAAGATGACACACCTTACCAGTTTGGTTTTCCGCTGATGAACCTTACAGTTCTTCAAAATTACACCGAAGAAGATCGCAACGTGAGCAAATTGATCATCACCTTATTCACAAATTTTGCTAAATACGGTAATCCGACTCCCCGACCATTGAGAGGAGTGACATGGAAGCAGTTTAACGCAACTTATCGAGCCTACCTTCGCATTAAAGAACAGCCCGAAATGGCGATTAACTTCTTCCCGACGCGAATGGCATTCTGGGACGAGTATTATAAGACGTTTTTAAAAGAGAAAGAATGCCCTGTCGAAGCCAGAGCAAGCGTGGGGACGCATGCGTGTTGCAAGGGTACATTTAGTTATTTCTTTACCCTCATTCTTATTATAGTCGTGTTTTCGATGCTTTCAAATCGCCTTGAATAGTAAGAATTTATGCACTTTATAAAAAAAGCAACGTAAATTCCCCTTTCTAGCAAAAATGTAGTCTGCTACACAGCCGTTTTTAGAGTCGTTACTAAAACGGCTGTGTAGCAGACTAGCAAAAATGGGGTTTCATTCACGTCTTTGCTCTCGCTATCTTTTGCGCTTGTGCGTTGAGGCTAGATGCATGATGTAATAATCTTCTTGATCTATAAGGTAAACAAACAGCAATACCCTGACAGCAGGAATTATACAATACGGAAAGATGATTAGAAATTATCGAAGCGAGCACAATTCAGTAGATTTTGTTTATACCCTCAAAGTTGATTGCTAGGATCCTTGTATAATATAATGAAACTTCAAACAGAAAAGAACTGCATGTACTGAAACCCAAAACACGGAAGAAGAGCTGCCCAGAACATCTCAAGCGTAAACTACAAGGTAAAAGTCTATCAGTTCTACGTCGGTAATTAGTTACAGTACACATCACACAGACAAACCTGAGGCCAACAGTGCGCCCATTTTACCTCTCTCTCCGTCAGTTCTCCGTCTCCTTTTAATAGGGAGCTTTAGCAACGACGACGGCGACGGCAAATAGGACGTCAGAAAAGCAATAGGTTTATTACGCAAAACAACAACTTTGCACGTGCATTACGCTTTTTTGTACATTTCTTCACCGTCCTTGCACGACTACGACGTGAAAATTCCTAATTGCAAGTTTTATGGAGGACGTAAACAAGCGACGACGAATCTCTTTTTCTCTCTCTAAACTTGAGTGCGGTCCTCAAGAAATCAACTCCAGGGAAATTCGCCTACACTTGCCATTTTCAGCAAACTAGAATAAACGCGACAAAGATTGAAAAAAAGGGAATTCATTTTAAAACTGACGTTTTCGCTGCAGTTGCCGTCGTCGATGCTAAAGCTCCCTAATGGCCGGGGGGGGGGGGGGGGGGCCCGAAAGGGGTGCCTTTTTAGGCTTCAGGAATATAAACGTTACGGATTTCACTAGTCGAAGTATGTAAAAGGGTGGGCAAATCTGTTATTTGGGTCTGTTAAAGGGCTTAAAAGGGCTAAAAAAAAATGAATGTTATGGCTTTATAAAGTCGAGAAAACGTTCTATTTTTTTGATTGATTCCTATTTAAAAGACAGTGCATTTACAGCAGTTAAAAGGGATGCAAAGTTCTAAAGAGGTTACGTGAAAGGGGTACCATTTGTCAACAGAAGGTATACGAAAGGGGTACCTTTTTCGTGAAAAATGGTATATAAAAGGGTAAGGGGTTGGACCTCGGGGCGGAGCCTCCCCGTATAAACATTCAATGAGTACCCCCCCCAAACCCCATTTAATGGGTATTTAAAGCTACTTAAAACTACACGAAAAGGAAAGAAGTCTTAGATTTGAGGTCACACCTATAAGAAACGAACTTGCTTCCTTAGGAGGCCGTTAAATAAGTTAAGTTAGGGTTAGGATTCTTGTTTTCTTACCAATTGCCAGGTTTTTCGGGGGTGTTATGGCCAGCTCCTGTGTTCAGTTGATCCCAACACTTTGCTCCCAACACTTTCAAGTGGGTTGTGTTGCACCGGTCAACTAAAGCCCCATTCACACCAAAGCTGAAAGCACACATGAAAGCTGTTTAGTTAAGAACGTTTAAAAATGTTTCCTTCATAAAAGCTGCTTGTTGCAAATTACAAAATGCATGATTTTCATTTGAATCCTGTGTGAAAACCTATGTTCCAGTTTTCTGTGACGGAGGCTGTTTTTCATTTTTCAAAACCTGGTTTAATTCAACTTGTTTAGTTGGTGTGAATGGGGCATAACACTTAGTTCGCTTTTTGCTTTTATTACGCAACACGAATTATAGGTAAAATAAGCAATAGGTTTTTTAAACAATTACAGCCCGCACAAATATATTAGTTTCTTTAATTTCTTCTTCTTTTTTTTTTTATAAAACAGACGTAATAATCAGTACCGCGATAGGTTCAATTGAACGGAATTAAAACATTTTTATCAACACTCTCATATTGTATAGCGTAAAATTCAACATGTATAATCATTAAGAAGACAAGTATATGCTAATCATATTGGTGCTGCCTATCATGGCATATACTGTACGTCCTATACCTACCGACAGTTTCATATTCAAGCCCACATTTTAACGATTTTAATAAAATAACTTATATAAAAAATCTCTTGTTTTATCAACTAAATATTTTCTACAATATACCAGATAACTTTTTGTGTCGACGCGAAAAGCTGTCCGGGATAGAATGAACGGCAACGACCAGAGACTCAGTAGAACAAGTTCACGGACATTGAAGATCTTTAATTGCCGGAGCGTTTGGTGCACTTGACTCCCAGTCCTCACTCCTGAATATTCACTTCCGTCTCATTGAGTTCCAGGCCTCACTCCAGCTCATTAACTTCCGCTAAGGTCCGAATTCGTGTTCACACTGCGACGAAGAGTGACAGAAACCGACTCACAGCGATATTTGACGGTCCACTTTCAAGCTCTGCGCGGTCTAGCTTCGCTCCGTTACAGAACCCGCGCCGAAATCACCGTTCCGTATGTGTGAACGGAATTAAGCGCTATCTGGTAGTGTGAACATAACTTCAGTGGTGTTACTAGTATGACTTCCAATGAACGTACCCCTCCAACCGTATCAGACGGGACCGGGTCGCCTCTTTGATATAAAATGATTTCCATTATCATTTCATTTTCACATGTTCAACCTTACATGCAGTTTAATAATTCCCGTTTTCTCTAACTGCCCTTGTAGGGGGCTATTAACTGAGCATGAAGTACTGGGAATTGAAGAGACTTTGTCTATTTTTATTTCCATTCCGTACTGGGAGTTACATATGGAAGAGTGTGGAACCGTTTCTCATAAAAATATTTTAAAATTACTCTTCTGTTGCATAATCTTCAGCAATTTAGTGATAGACTTCATAAAGTTGAAATAAATTCGGTGTGCTTTAACAAGAGCTAAGAAAATTGACGTGACGACTTGGGGTGCGTTCGAATCAGTGATCGTATTCCAGAATAAGAATGCACAGAAATTTGCGACAAATCTTTTCGATCGCAAAGTTTTGGACCTTTGGAATGCTACATTCATCTAATTTATTAATTCCCATCAGAGTTCCGTATTTTACCAAACACGCGATGAACGCTGTAACTATATGGCTGGTAACCGGTCAAGGTTTTAAAAAACACTAAATGACAGGCAGTCCGGTATTTTTAATAACTTTATCTAAGAATCCCAACAATCCAAACTATCATGATATGTCAATTGAGAAAAGTCAAGCGATCCTGAAATGCTTTATAGATCTCAAGTCTAGCGTTTTATTTACGCTGGGCTCAGAAAACGAAACCATGTTTTGTGACACTTAAAAACTTTTTTCAGGTCTACTGCCGGTCAAGGTTTTTAAAACCCTAACTGACCGGCAGTCCTATATTCTCAATATGTCTGACAAATCGAAAAAAATCATTTAATCTAAACTATCACATGTCGATTAAGAAAAGTCAAGCGATCCTGAAACGCTTTATAGATCTCAAGTTTAGCGTTTGGTTTACGCTCATCCTCGGAGACCCAGGGGCAGATAGTGGGGGCAAGGGAAAGACGAAACGGGCGGGAAAAAATGGCGCGAAGATTACTTTTCTTCGCGCCATTTTTTTCCACCCGTTTAGTCTTTCCCTTGCCCCCACTATCTGCCCCTGGGTCTGCGAGGATGGTTCACGCTGAGCTCAGAAAACGAAACCAAGTTTGTGATACTTAAAACTTTTTTAGCTTCCGCTTTCCTCTTTCCGCTTTCCTCTTTCCTCTTTCCTCTTTCCTCTTTCCTCTTTCCTCTTTCCTCTTTCCTCTCTCCTCTTTCCTCTTTCCGCTTTCCGCTTTCCTCTTTCCTCTTTCCTCGGCAGTCGACCTGAAAAAAGGTTATCACAAAACATGGTTTCGTTTTGTGAGCCCAGCGTAAGCCAAACACTATAGAGATCTATAAAGCATTTCAGGATTGCTTGGTTGGGATTCTTAGATCAGTCAAATCTATTGAAAATACCGGACTGCCGGTCATTTAGTGTTTTGAAAACCTTGACCCGTTACCGGCCATATAGCCACAGCGAACAATGACAGCCAAAACTAGTAATTTTTTAGTTTTTTTTTTTGAGTATTCTTACTGCTGAATACGGTCAACCGAACGCGCCCTTCTGAGGTAAGAAAAAAATAAAACTACGTTTACTATGCCCATTCTTCTTGATTTCATTAAGGGCCTGTTTACATCGAGGTGGGGGACTCCAGACATGTGGCGGGTCACCCCACCTATCATGTAAACGTGATCAAATTGACATGAGAGATTGTATGGACAGGTGGGTTACCCCACCAAAGCGGGTTACCTCACCTACCTGGGGTCCCCCACCTCCATGTAAACAGGCCCTAAAATCAAAGGAAGTTAGATGGCAGAGGCTTCCAAGACGGTGATCTTGCCTATATAGGGTCTGAAAAGAGGGGTTTCTAAACCCGCATTTCCACTCCCTTTTCACGAGAAATCCCGCATCGCGACTTCTTTCATCACTATCCCGAATATCATTTTCGTTTCAACCTCATCCATGCTTAAGTTTTGGCGAATTCCGCTACCCCGGGGTAGTAGTCAAATCCCGTATCCCGTCAACTTTTTCCCGAATCCCGCACTGTACTTTGGTCAAATCCCAGATCCCGGGAATACCCTTACAGACCCTTCTTGCCTTATGTGTTTTTGTGAGGTCTACGATAAAATAAACAATCAATAGACGGCCTTGAAATTTCCCGCGTATTTGACGCATTATACAGGTACCACAAGAAACTCTCACATCCGCCGATTAGATTATACAATATTTTA